CTCCCTTTAACACATTCACACTCTCATATTAGTGCTCGAGTGCCCATTCACACAATGTCAAACATACAAAATGGTTTTGTTGCCTCAGTTTAAGTCCCAAAAGGTTCGTCCCTGAAGACAAAATAGATTTTATTGCAGGTGGCCCCTTGCGTGGTAGCGCCTAGCATCAGTGTGTGAATGGGTAGTGATGGCAGTGTGGGCGGAGGAGTGTGTGTGTGTGTGTGTGTGTGAAAGCAGTCCCATTGGCTAATTGGTTAACGGATGTGTGAACTCTGCTCTGTTCCCCAGAATAACGAGCACAGCTGCAGATGTTTCCCAGAAACGGAGGAGCTTTGTTTGTGTGTGTGTGCGTGTCCGTGTGTGTGTGTGTGTGTGTGTGCGTGTGCGTGTGTGTGTGTGTGTGTGTGATCCAATTTCTCTCCAGCAAATTCAAATGTTTGTCTGGTTGCTGATTGTGTGCGCAGTCCTTCATTATGTGACGATTTCTATCCAAAAACACGCGAGTGAGGAAATTCATGTTCCCTTTGCTCTGTATTAAAATACTAATGCAACAATTTGTCAAATAAAATTAGCATTTGCTTTAAAAACAAACATCTCTTTGCACACGTTTGACTGATTAGTGGTCGTTACTATCTACTCGATACTAATCATGATCTTTGAATATATGAACTATAACTGCAAAATGGTTTCATTACTGTCATTATGTTGACAAATCATAGATAACACAATGGTGTCCCATAATACACAATGGAATAAAGGCTCATTTTAAATCAAATAATTGCATTTACAGCCTGAGAGGTTTGAATGGTCCTTGGCTGGACCTCTTGTTGCTGTGTGAGTCCTCGCTAAATATTCCCCTTTGTTTGTGGTTGTTATGTTTGTATATATTTACTTCAGCTAAATTAAAAAAAAAGGTAAATTGTGAGAAAAAATAAATTGAATGTGTATTTTATAAAATGAGTAACGGTATGTTTAGAAATAAATATATATTCATGATTTAACCTCAACAAAAGCGAGTTGCGTGTTAACACACACGCCTGGTGTGTGTGTTCACTGATGCATACTTCCGTGTGTGCGCCAGTGAGTGTGTTATTGATTTGCGCAGATGTTTCACACGGCCTCCACGACACAGATGGTCAGTCGAGTTGTCTTCTCTTGTTCTTGTGTCGTCTTGGCACGTCATTAGACATGCAGGGGCTCGTACATGTTGCATGTTTGCATGTGTGTCCACGTGTGTGTGTGTGTGTGTGTGTGTGACTCCTATGGCGACTACTGACCAGCTGCTTCCAGAAGCTATTGTGTCACCAGATGCCATGACATAAACGTGTGTGTGTGCGTGTGTGTGTGTGGGAGTGTGCATGTGCATGGATATATGTGTGTATGTGACCATTGTGATTGTATGTTGAAAAATTAGAAATGCTTTTTGCTGTGTGTATAATTTGTGTTTTCTGTAGTGTATCTATAGATATCTATAGATAGTGTATCTATAGCTCTGGTGTGTATTTTCTGTGTGCTTTTGTGAACAGTACACATATATATATGTGTGTGTGTGTGTGTGTGTGTGTGTGTGTGTGTGTGTCTGAGAGGGGGGCGAAGTGGGCAATGGAGGCTTAGAGGTCTAAATGAGTGTATGACCCGTGCCGCTGCTTGGCCCCCGTGGCCCCCGTGGCCCCGTGGCCCCGTGGCCCTGCTAACTCATTAACTGTAGAAAACCGGCCACACCTCCTGTTGCACGAGACAAAGACATGGGGGATTGAAGTGTGTGTGTGTGTGTGTGCGTGAGGCATGGTGGTTAGGCATCTTTCTTTCGGGGGGGGGTCAGTGTGTTGACAATAGGCTCGGCGCGCGACCACCTTTATTTGACTTGGCAATCAGGGAAGAAGTGTTTGACCCCCCCGCGTCCCGCTGTCACTGCGTCTGCGCCGGTCTCCTGTCGCTGTCACTTCTCCATCCTTTTCATGACATTCTACATCGTCTGGTTTACTCTGCTGCTTAAAGAAAAACGACCAGCAACATTATTTCATTCTAAAAAAGTAAATCAGTGGTTGATATGAGACCCAAAGACATAGGAAATGCGAGTCGGGAGAAAGGACAGCAGAAGCAGGTACGAGGCGTTAATCGCTCAGCGCCTGCAGAGTGTTTCGGGCAGCGGAGGCCTCCATGGAGCGCTGATGGACGTCACGTTTCACCATCAGGCTCTCTGTTGCTGTTGAGTAAAGGTGGATGTTCAGCATCCGTGGAGCCATGGCAGTTATTGCTCAATTACCGGTGTGTGTGTGTGTGTGGCGTCTAGTTGCCTCTCTCTCAGCAGCTGCTGCCCCCCCCCCCCCCCCGCCCTGTGGGTGTATGGCCGGCTCTTCTCACCTGGGTGTGTGTTCCTTGGGTGAATGTGGCATGGTACCTAAAGAGAAAAAAGGATTTGTGTCTCCGCCCCGTGATCCAGATGTGCTGCAGGAGGACACACACGTGGTTACATGAAGATCAGTCCGGTCGTGTTCTCCGTCGCCCCGCTGACAAACATGCAAACACAACTTTAAAACCATATATCACGCGTCCGATGGAGACCACGGTGTGGATTAGGATCGGCTCAGAACCGAAGCAGCGCCGTGCCACCGTGTGATGTTGTTGTGATGTTGTTGTGTGTTGTTGTGCGTTGTTGGAGAGGGAGAAGGAGGGGAAGCTCTCTGTACAATAGCCGCAGTCTGTTCCTCCACCATGTTTTTTGGCTCAATCCACAAGCGGACAAAGCTTTATTGATAGTAGCCCACATACTGTATCTGCCCATCACACACACACACACACACACACACACACACACACACACACACACACGTTCAACACGAGAATGGTAAGTACTGGAATTCTTCAGTATTTGAAGAACACACACACACACAATTTACATCGGACAAAGACTGTGTGAGTGTTTGTGTGTAGACGGATGACATTTCAGATTGTAATTAATGTTCTTCCTCCATAGACACACTCACACACACACACACACACACACACACACACACTCATTGAACTAGTGTTTTACCATCTTCATGACGTCTCCCCGGTTCATCGTGATTCCTGTAGCAGTGTGTTCTAGTTAGTTAGTGTGTTTGTGTTGATTCATTTGATTGGAACACTAGCGTCTCCCCACCGCACGCACACACGGTTCAGTAAACACACGACATGGCTGTACTGTGTGCGTGTGTGTATCAGTGTGTGTTGAGCATGAGGGGGACTCGATTGTGCTTATCTGAGTGTCTGTTTGTGTGTCAGCCTTGTCCTGTTGTGGTTGTGAGCAGAGGTCAACTGGACTGGAGTCCATCTGGGCAAGAGTTGATGTTGTCTTTGCTTTTGTTTGTGCGTGCGTGTGTGTGTGCGTGTGTGTGAACGTCTTGGCGTACGTCTTGAGGAGAAGCTGAGCGGAGGTTTATTGTCAGGGCATCTTTTAATTAGATGCAAGCTTCATTTGCATGTCACAGCTCGCGGCGGTGGGTTGGGGGGGTTATTGATTGTTGGAGGGGGCCGGCTGGAGACAGAAGGGGGCTGAAAATGCTGTCCGAGGTCAGGAGGTCGAGCTTACACACACACACACACACACACACACACACACACACACACACACACACACACACACACACAAACACAGATACATGAAACTGAACATCTCTGTCTTCCTGTGTCTTACCAGGCCTCAGGCCTGCTTAAACTCCAGGGGGGGGGGCTCTTTGACATGCCCTAAAGGCCCCAACCCCCCCCCCCCCCACCCCCCCGCCCCTCACACATGGGACGTCGTGTCTCCCTTTCTATTTCCTGCAAATTGAGTAGAGAAGGCATTAGAAATTCATTAATTACGTGTGCTAATTTCATCTTGATTGGATAAACAGACAAACTCGCTTGATTGACGCGTCCATTGTTGTGCAGCAGCGCTACACTTTTATCATCCGTTGTTAACGGCAACTCAAGTTGTTTTGTGCAATTACAGAGTGGCTGAGGATTAAAGAATAATGTCCAATGGAAGCGTAGCATCGTGACTGTTACACACACACTGGGAATGAATCTAAAATGTGTTTTCATCCGGGCTGCGCATAAAGTAAAGATATACAACACACGCACAAATACGTGTGTGTGTGTGTGTGTGTGCATGAATTGGCCTGTCTTCTCGGTGACGTGTGTGTGTGTGTGTGTGTGTGTGTGTGTGCATGAACGGGCCTCTCTTCTCGGTGACGTGTGCGTGTGTTTAGCGTGTGAATGGTTTCATGCACGGTTGACGTGTATCTTTGAGCTTTTATAGGTTGGAAGGTGGACGGGAGGAGAATATATTATTATTATTATTATTATTATTATTATTACATCAAACACTGTGATGTGTGTCTTTAAGGAAACAACAAGATCACTTCTCATTTCTGAAGGTTCTGCTCTAGTCCGCTACATTCCAAACAATATTTATTATTATCATTAATTCTTCATATAGCACAACAGTGACTTAGCGTGTAGCGATTTGAAGAACATCTCCAATGCTTGCTACACTTATACTAACGTTTTGGCGTTTGACGTTGAACGTGGACGTCTTTGCGTTGGGTTGATTTCCCTTCGACTCGTCCCCTCTGTGCTCATGGCGACTAATTCTGCCTCCGGTCTCCAAAGACTGCGTACAAACACGCGCACACACGGGACCCACGTCACTTTTGCTCCCCTTCGCACATCCTGCTCATTATCAATGAACCTGGCAGGGCGAACGCAGTATTAATACAGCAGATCAGCAGCCGCATGATCCTTCTGTAGCTTTTCTCATTATACAGGAATATAGAGGTCAGTATTATAAAGAAATGAAACATTTTCCGCCACACTTGCAGCGCCTGTGAGTGTGTTTGACAGCAGCGGACTGTGTGTGTGTGTGTGTGTGTGTGAGACTCATTAATAATGCATGAGGTGGGAGGGGTGAAGGAGAGGGGGCGGTGACAGATGGAGAATCAGTGTGTCAGAGAGGGAGAGAGAGGGAGGGAGAGAGGACGCACCGAGAGACAGCGAGAGCAAAGTGAGAGCGAGAGAAAGGGGTCGAGAGTGAGGGGGCCGGGAAGGAGACGGAGCGAGTGGTCCACACTTAATACATCCGCCGTCTTTGTGTCTCCGCGCTGGACCAGAGACGCCGGGTCTTTGTGTCTGTCGGATGCTGAAGGTGTTGATGGGGATGGAGAGAGAACACAGCGGCTCTGCACTGCTCTACACCTGGACGCAAGAGCTGCACTGACGGAGGTACGCTGTGTGTGTGTGCGTGTGCGTGTGTGTGTGTGTGTGTGAGGGGCAGGACACTCTGACCGCCTTCCAGTTTGACTTTTTATTGTCTGTCCAGTGAAGCCACGGTGAAAGACGCGTGTGGATGAATCCGTTTCACAGCCTCGTGGTACTTTGTGTACTCCTCACCGCTCTCGCCTCCTCAGTACTGAAGACACTTTTACTGGAGATTGTGTCCGTAGCAACCAAGTATGTGACACCCTCATCATTTTAAAGCTTCAGGGGGAACTTATGTTATATATTTCACCCACATTGTCTCATCTTTACTTCAACGCTGGCTGTTACAGTGATCATTCAGGATGATCACACACACACACACACACCCACACACACACACACACAATCAGTCAGTCGGCTCGCTTCATCGCAAAATTATGGATTGTCGTGTCTGTGTGTTTTCTCATTAGCCACAATCAGTCTAACAGCTGCTGCCTGTTTTTCTGTTTTTCTCGATCTCTGGACTTGATATGAAAAGGTTCTTACTGTACATGTACGTACACGAGGGCCCCCATGTCACATGCTGAGGGTCTCATATGAGTATACTCTGTAATATTATTATATATATTTTCTGTAAATTGCAGCCTGGTCTCCTAGAAGTTACGTTTTGTACACATAGAGCGTATATATCCTCTGGGATTACGTTGGCTTTATCTAATACTAACTAGGTCTGTCTGCAGGACTTTCACCCACGAGGCCGCTGTTTGTGTCCGTTGTGAAACCAGGAGAAACTCTCTGAACCCACAGCGTGATCCTTCAACAGGCCTCGCCAAGACGCTCTATTGATAGTTGAGAATGCTGCCTGGAAACGACTAGAACACTGTGAGCTGTTAAAACATTTCGAGATGAAACGTGTGTTTGGTTCAGCCGTGGATTCACTATGTACTATTTTATTATGGCAATTGTTTTTTTTTTTAATTGGCCAACAATCTTTGATTCCACGTGTCATTATACTGTATATATTCATTATTATTTAGCTAATTTTGACCCAACTGATGGTTTCCCTGCTTACCTCCGGTCAGTAGACTACCACACGTTCTAATTGGACCTTGTGTGGTCGGCCAAGGCCCAACAGACGGGTGCTAAATGAAGCAGCTTATTTCTAGCCTGCTGTATAATTCATAAAACATGGAATCGTCCTGATGGGATGAACGTCCTCACTGGTCTTTCCTCCTCACATTTACCTGAAAAACAACGCAGTTATTCTGGCCATTTCTCTCCTAAACCTGTAGCCGTAGCCGTTGTCCACGTCCATCTTAAATGGTATTTACAGTATTATAGATGTATTAGTATTATAGTATTATAATGTCTTAACCACTGTAATACACGTCACGGTCCATCATTTCCTCTATTTGAGACCCGGTGGGACCCAGCTGAACCAGTTCAGAACCAGCACAGAAAAGTCACCTGTCATCAATGTGTTAGTGCTGTGCAGATGTGAGAACTCTGTATCTAGAGTTTGGCTCGATGGCACTGTGGCAGCATTACGCTGATATTGAACCTCCGCCGAGGTCAACAAGACAATAAGGGAGCTTATGCATCTTTTCATGCTGCTCTTCATCAGTAGAACTTATAAGAGTACCTCATGTTAACCTGTGTGTGTGTGTGTGTGTGTGCGTGGTGAATGCAAGGCGGTCTGACTGCGCTGTTTGTTGCCCTGTAGGAGGATTTAAACACTCGACACATCTATCAAACACGTGTCTGTGTGAGATCACATGCGTGTCTTTGTGTTTGCCGCTGGTGGGAGGATTAGTACATTAATGCATTTCAAGTGTTTGTTTTTTGTCATGCGCAGGTGTGTGTGTGTGTGTGTCTTGTGGAGAGGTGTTTGTTGAGGGAAGTGGTTTGACAGTAGTGTGTACACACACACAACACAGACACACACACACATACACAAATACAGCCCTCCTTTGTTCGGCAGCCTTGTGGAGAGACGGTTAGTGGACCCACAAAAAAAAAAACAGAAAGGAAAAGGAGGGAGAGAAAAGGAGAGAGGGACCCTAATGGACAACGACGGACCTTTCTCTGCAAATATTTGGTTTCAAACTCTCCATCCCTTCCCCCTTTTCTCCCCCCTCTCTCTCCTCCCTTCTCCCCGTGGCCAAAGGGAACAGATCAGAACACATGGTCGCTGTGATCTTCCCACATCGCACGGCTTTTTTTGTTTTTTGACAGAACGGCGCTGAGGGCCTCGCGTCTGATGCCACGTCGTTGGTGGGATCAGAGAACGGGGTGTGGATCGGACGGCTGTCTTCACCCAAGACTTTAACATCATTGTTCGATTTCTGATATTCTGATGTAGCTGGAAGGGAAACGTTGTTAAAATGTCCATGACTACATGGCTCTTTGGTTTTTATGGTCGTGGCCTTTAATTCCAGCGATCGAGAACCGTTGGTTCTACGAACGACGGTGGAACCATATTCTTTATTTGTTCCCCGTTGCTGCTGCTTTGGACCGTCACATTTACGTAACTAGAGATTTAGCTGTAGATGACTCTTCTTCTGCCATGTCAAGATAATCTGCTGGTTCAACGTGTGTGTGTGTGTTTGTGTTGTGTGTGTCTGTGTCTCCCACACGTGTGCGATTGCACCGGATTAGCCCTCATCAGCAGAATGTTGACAGGAAACAAAACGTCGCATGCAGCAGAAACCAACTTCCTGTCATGAAATATTCTGTCTGTGTGCTGAGGTGAGCAGGAGGGACATTTTAAATACTCGCTGCTCTCCGGTATCATGTGGACACACTAGAAGAGGCTTTGCTCTGCTGCTCTTCGGCAATCTCTTCTCCTTAATTCTTGTTATTTTGTCATCAGGGGAAAAAAGATATGCAATATGCATTGAAATCAAGAGAATAAAGCAGGGTTTCCTCTCTTAAAGGGGTCAGAGGAGTGAGATATGTAAAGAAGACCCAGCCGGCGCGATTCCAGGTGGGAGTCCAGATGTTGGGCCCGTGAGCCAGGTACTTAACCTACATGCCTGTGTGTGTGTCTGCCACACTGGGACATGGAGTCTAACGCTGTGGGACGTGGTAACCTAGAAGAAGCAGCGTGGTGATGGGGGGGTTACAGAGAGGAGCGGCGACAGGAGGAGTGCTTTTACAATCAAAGAGCCTTATTGTCAAACTGTGGCTCTGGATTTACATATAAAGGAATATGTTTGAATGTGTTATACTTAAATGGATATCGCCTGCGGTCTGTATCTGGTACCCGTGACTTCCCTCAGCTCCACCTGAAGCCCCCCCTCTGTGAGCGACGACATTTCAAACCCCCGAATGACTGACGGGTGAGCCGCGCCTGGTCCGGTCCGGCTGGTCGTCACGAGCAGTGAGACCAAAACTAAGCTCCTCACGCACATTAGTGACGTGCCTCCGACCAGAGACGCAGACTGTCCTCAGCCAGGAGAACCTGAAGATCCCCGCCGCAAGTAATGGAAGAGCGGAGCGTGAATCATGAATCCATCAGAGTAAACGGAGCGATGGATGCCCTCAATCTGAGAAGGCCATTCGGGCCGGGGGGGGGGGGGGGGGGGGGGGGGACTTCTCGTGTGTTTTTCCACTCCATGACTCCCCTGATTGGTCGGGACTCGGGGCTCAGCTTGCCATTGGCCGTCGCTCCACTCAGTCGTGAAATGGTTCCTTTAATTTGTGAGCAGTGATGCTGCCGCGAAGTGTTGGATAAACCTCCCCAGTAACAAAGATATGACGGACTGGGATTTTATTACTTGAGCTCCACTTTGTCCACTTCTGTTGTGTTTGTTACATAAGATGCCTCGGGTTAACAAAGGTCCATTAAGATACCATCCAAAACGATTCTTGACCTAAAAATCAATGCCTTCTTTCACATGTTGTGCAGAAGTTGACAAAGGCAGGTTCTGCTCAGAGTATCCAGCATTTTGGCCTTCCCTCATCTTTCCAATCCAATGACATCACAACATCTGGCTGAAACGTGGAACTAACAGACCAGTGGAGCAGCAAAGCCACTGTGAGGGATTCATGGTGCAGAAAATCAACACTTCTTTGTTTGGACTTTTGTTACTGCAGCTTCATCCTCATCCTCAGCCCAGGTCTGGGTTCCTTAATAACAGCAGGAGGCGCCTTTGATAGAAAGCATGTACTTGTTATTTAGACTGTAGACCTCTTCAGGATCGGCTTCAATACATTGTCTTGACTTTCTCCAAATGTCAGAACAAAAATCGGGGATTTTGAAATACTATGTTGTTTGGGCTGTATTTTCCAAAAACGATGAATCCAACGTGGTTTTCCTTCTCTGTTTATTTGTACCATAACTATCAATCTACTTATTTATTTACTCGGTTCTGTAGTCAATAACTGGTGCTTTGTGTAAGCAACATGCTCTCTGTGAAACAGCCCACATGTCTCCTCTGAGGGATGTATTTGTGTGTCTGTGTGTGTGTGTGTGTGTGTGTTTTGTACCAGATATCAGATATAAGTGTTAATTGGATTTGTCAGCAGCTTCAAACACTCAACCAGCCCTCACACTATTTCATACGGCCAAACGCACACACGCACACACACTCACACACACAAATACACTCGGACTCAGCAAAAAAAACACAAAAGCGTGCACCCCTCCACACACACACACACACACACAAACACACACACACACACACACACACACACACACACACAGCATCCACCCGGTTAATCTCCTTAAACGTGTGTCCATACACACTCACACTCACACAGAAGACACACTCAGTCACACCTTTTAACCACTCCACCACAGCAGTAATCATTGCGCGCGCACACACACACACTCACACACACACACACACACACACACACACACACACACACACACACACACACACACACACACACACACGTCAGTCATTTTAACACCATGGTTTCCTCGGGGGGGGGCTTTCCTCACAGCATTCAAACGTGCACGCGCACACATGCACTTCATCTCACACACACACACACACACACACACTTGGCCA